CCCATCTCCTGTACCACTCTTGTTTCTGTCCGCAGTACCTCAGCTAGCACCTTGGGTGGATGAACGATGTATAATTGGAAAAGAAAATGTCTTCTTGTCTGGAATTAGCACCTCTAAGACAGAGGGATCTGCCTGTGTATACTCTCCACTAAAAGACGTCTCCTCCCTTTCTATCTCCAAAATGGCAGCTTTGATAACTTCTATTAGTCCTTTGTGGGGAACAACATTAAACTTAGGCAGAAAACACCTGGGCTTATCTGTTTCAGGCATTTGCTTTTCTTTTTCCTTTTTCTTTCTTTGCTATAGAGTAAGTATGCTTGCAGGAGACAAAAGGGGGTGATGTGGAAACACCACCCAGGGCGGATAATCATGTTATAATCCCTCCTCCTCCATTCTCCTCTCAGGATTTGGGGCACACATGCGTGCGTGCACACACACACCTCCAGGTCCTAGACTTGAACCACACAGTCACGTGGGATTCAGCAGCCTGAACCACTATGCCACCTAGCTGCTCTCCCTTTATAATTTTCTCACCTAGCTGCCCCCGCCCTTACAATTTGCCAGAAGGTATGTGTGCTTGCCAAAGAGGGAAACTGAGAAAGCACCCCCCATGGGGCAAAGGCTACAATCTTTTCTCCTCCATTTCTCCTTCTTTTCAGGATTTTGGGCCCATGCACACATACACCTGGTGTTTTTGTTTGTTTGTTTTTAAGAATTTTTTTTATTTATTATTTTTTGTATGAGTTTTGCCAGAGAAAGAGAGCGAAGGATAGAGAGAGAAAGAAAGCGAGAGAGAGAGTGAGAAAGCAAGCCACCAGGTCTGAGACTCAAACCATGGTCAGCCATGTGGGAATTTCAGCACCTTAACCACCACACCACCTGCTCTTCCCCCCAACACCTGGTGTGTTTTTAAAGTAACTGGATCCAGGGGACTAGCCGTTGGCATAATGGCTATGTCGCTGGACTCCCATGTAGTCGACTGTGGTTTGAGTCCCAGACCCGATGGCTTAAACTCACGCCAGGTGTGTGTGCATGCGTGCCCAAGATCCCGAGAGGAGAATGGAGGAGAAGGGATTGCAGCATGGCCATCCTCCCTGGGGGGTGATTTCTCACTTTCTGTCTCTCTGTCTCTCTCTGTCTTTCTGGCGAGTGCACACATCCTATAGCAAAAACCTCTTTAAAAAATCCATTAAAAACAAGTCATAAAGTAACTGGATCCAGGACTCACATTGCACAGTTGGCCTTGTGGGATCTAGCTGCTTTAACCACCGTGCCACTGGCTAGCCCTAAGTATTCAGAACTTTTTTTTTTTTTCCTCACATTTTTGCGATAGGCCATGTGCAATC